CAGCGGTCTGCACACCACATCAATGAGCTGCCCAGTGCAAATTACTCACACAAATATAAAACAAAATGTCAACGTATGTGTGTGCCGACCGCTGGTTTAGATTATCAATTCCAATCAATTTTACTTTTAGTTTGTTGGAAAGTTCAATCTTTTTAGAAAAAAACTGCATCCTTTTAACTGTGCTAGAAAACAGATTACAGATTTTTGGCCAAAAAAATTCGCTTTCTGGCCCAGTGTACATTAGTCAATTTTACTCACCAAAACTTTTGTGCGCATTTGCGCGTTATTATACCCGTTACTCGTAGAGTAAAAGGGTATATTGTATTCGTGCAAAAGTATGTAACAGCTAGAAGGAAGCGTTTCCGACCCCATAAAGTATATATATTCTTGATCAGGATCACTAGCCGAATCGATCTAGCCATGTCCGTCTGTCCGTCTGTCTGTCCGCCTGTCTGTCCGTCTGTCTGTCCGCCTGTCTGTCCGTCTGTCTGTCTGTCCATATCAGAGAGCTGCAACGAGTCAATCATTTTCGGGTACACCCGATCATTTACTCGTATCCGTTTTGATTAATCGCTTTGGGTGAGCGAAATGAAATGAGCGGTGAGCGAATGCGATCGTGCCATGAATGATCGTTTGTGATCGTTCAAGTGTGTGATCTGATCGTGTGTGAACGTTCGGCTTAAAGATTTTACCCGTTTGTGATCGAATATTTTGTGCAATCGATTGGTGTGATCGTGCTTCGCGCCTACCGCTATGACCGTGCAGTTCGTGTTATTGCTTTATATTTTGCACAACATATTTTTATATTTGCACAAAAGGACAACAAGTAATAGATTTTGAAAGCATTTTAGAACTAATATCAACTGGAACCTACACGTTGTCAGGCCAACGGAAAGGAAAAAGTTCCATATGGAATAAACATTTCTCATTAAACATATAATACATTGAAGTGCACTTTCCCCCTATTTTATTTCGTCGTCACAAGAAATCATATTAATCCGTTCACAATCTATTCATGTACAACTGACTCGAGGTCCCAATCATCGGGAACGATTGAGCGCTTCGGAACGATCATTTTGTTCACCAACACCCGAAGTTCAAAATCACATCATTGATCGTTACGAAGCAAATCGGGTAGTTGATCGGATTGTACTTTGGCTTTCGGGTTTGTTCGTGATTATTCGTTGGCGAGTGAGTTTACCGAATTAAAAAATGATCGCGCGATGATCGTTCGTACTCGATCATACTCGTTGCAGCTCTCTGGTCCATATGAACGCTGAGATCTCGAAAGCTACAAAAGCTAGAAGGTTGAGATTTTCCACACATATTCTTGGGCCATCTACGCAGCGCAAGTTTATTTCAACCGATCGCCACGCCTCTCAAACGCCCACAACCGCCCACTAACGATTTTCAAATGTGTCTGGCGCCCACATCTTTAAAGATTTCCGAAAAGTATAAATTCAATTTTGTTATGTATACCTATCGAACTGTAGACAACATTTTTCAAATTTCATTAAAAAGTTATGCGCAATCAAAAAAATGTTATATATCCATCTCCCTCGCACTTCCTTTAGCTGAGTGACGGGTATTGGATAGTCGGGAGTCCCGACTCGGGCCACCCGACTATAGTGTTCTCCCTTGTTTTTTGTTTGAAAAGTTTCACGGAACTTAAAACATGTGAAATTTGATTTATTATTGCTATTTACTGCCTAAAATTGTTACCAAGGTAAAAAGAACCACAAATATGCTTTCTAGGTTGATTTTGAAATAAATAATGCGTAGGGGAGTGTGGGGCATTTTCGTAAGCATTTTTTCAAAGCTATTTTTTGTCCATCTTGAGACACGTTATCATATTTCTTTTTTTTATTGTTGAATGCGGTTAGCACCAGTGCTGCCATTTTGTCCTCTTTCCGGACAGATCTGTCCTTTTTTTAACGGGTTTATCCGGAAAAAATTTCAAACATCCCCTATCCGGAAATCTGTCCTTTTTTCAAAAAAAAGGTCTTGAGTGTTATTTTTGCCAGTCGAAAGTGTGTAAACCTGTTTTTATATGCTAAAACGCCTTTTTAACCATCAATCTTACAGTTCGGCACTTAAAAAATAATTATTTTTACAAATTATCAAAGAGACGTAAAGCAGTCGATGGATTTTCTATATAGTACGATTTTTTCTGTAGCAAAAAAAGAGAAAATCACTTTAAAAATTTCTCAATTTTTACCCTCTGCTTTTTTGTCAGAAAAAAATTTCAGATTTTAACGACTCTTAAGGCCGGTTTCTCGAGTCCCTGTCAAAGTCCCTGATAGCTATCTGTTCGAAAAACTTAAATACCAGATAAACTGTTCGTAAAAGCAAATCCGCTTTCTCGACTGCTTTAATTTATCTGAACGAGAAACAATTACAGAGTGCTGTTAACGCACAGAATTGTGCTGTGAAGCGCAAAAAATGGCATGCTTCGATTATTTTATCAGCTGTTTGGGTATAATTTTAAGGAAAAGTCAGCTGTGATTTCGTTTCTTCTTCTTAGTTGGCTTTGGGAAATCAGCTGTCATTTTATCGAGTCGAAAACGCTTAACAGGGACTCCGAGTCCCTGTCAAATTTAGCTCTCACATTTATGCTCGAGAAAGCCAAAATGCCTTAGCAGGGACTTTATCTGTTCGAGAAATGTTAGCCGGCACTCGAGAAACCGGCCCTTATTCGGGTTTGACGCAGATATGGCATTTTTTTGTATTACCAATATAGTTACTTGAAATGCTTTTATTATTTTAATAATTTTAGATTATTACGTATACGCACAAAAATTAACCATGGTAAAATGATCAAACAAAGAAGGATGTGAGTCGGGCGCAGTAGGTCATTACATAATTGAATTTAATATAAAATCCATTTAAATTAAGTAATTATATAACCCATTGGTAAAACAGAAAAATGGAGGCGCATTTACTTTTGTCCTTTTTTAAAATTTTTTGTCCTTTTTTTCCCAGTTTTTTTTGGCTTATCTGTCCTGTTTTTCAAGCTGAGTGATGGCAGCACTGGTTAGCACCAAGCTTTAAAATGTGACATTCCCTTTTTTTTTTAAATTACCTTGGTGATTTATAAAAAATTAAAAAGTAAAACCAATACACTGAGGCAATTTCGTCACCTGAAAAATTTAGGGAATTTAAAGCCTGTAAATATGCTACACTGATCAAGCGTACCATTTTTGTTGACGTTCTATATTTGTTGCTGCTGCCGGTAGTCTGTTCGTTAGCCAGCTCGTCAAATAAAAAAATATGTATTTAAAATAGGTGCGAATTTACCCTAAGCATAGGGTGGCGAAATTTCCCCACACAGTACTTTTTTAGAAATAAATATTTTTCTTCCGAAATTAGGCGCGAAGTTAAAAATTCAGTAATTCAACATTTTAGGGAATCCCCTCAGTCTCATTCTGTTCGGGACACTTTATTGGACATTAATCGCTCGAGAGATTTTTTTGAAATATTTATTTTCTGAAGGGAAATTTCAATTTTGTTGGTCTTCAATCTTCGTGATATTTAGCAAAACTTAAAACATTCTTTCTGGGGTTAAAATAGTAGATGGTTCTATATATTATAACACATGGTCTTTATTTTATTTCTTATAAATTCTGCACGTTGGTAGAACTATTGGTCATATTCGCAGTATTAAGCGAGAGCTCGATGAGCAAGATTGCAGTCAAACTGAGCAAAATGGCCTAAGTAGCATTTAGGGGCGGCAAAACAAAAATTTGACAACGCGAAATTTTTATGGAATAAGGGAATTGTAGAAATCAAGGAAGAAAAATATTAAAATTTACAAAAATATGGACCTCCGCGTCAAATAGCTGTAGCCGCATTTTTAATAGCAAAAAAAGGTTAGGTTTCGTACTGTTATTACCCCAGTAGGGGAGAGTGGGGGAATTTCGTCACAGGGGCAATTTCGTCACCTGCAATATCTCGGAATCCATAAGTCGTAAAAATATATATTTTTTTTGTTTTAGTCCTTCAAGACGGCCAGACACAACCAATGCATTTGTTTTGCACAGAAGGCCAAGATAATTAAGCTATAATATTAAATGTGTTTTAACAGTTCAAAAGCTACATTTAGTTCTCGACGAAATTTTTTCTGTATGCCACAATCCAAAAGGAATAAGATACACGATTTTTTATATAATACACAGTGCTATAATGTGCATTTCTGCGTCAGTGATTTTTAACTTCGCGCCTAATTTCGCAAGAAAAATAATTATTTCTAAAAAAGTACGGTCTGGGGAAATTTCGCCACCGTACGCTAAGGGTAAATTCGCACTTATTTTAAATACATATTTTTATATTTGACGAGCTGGCTAACGAGCAGACTACCAGCAGCAGCAACAAATATAGGACGTCAACAAAAATGGTACGCTTGATCAGTGTAGCATATTTTCAGGCGTTAAACTCCCTACATTTTTCAGGTGACGAAATTTCCCCAGTTGTGTGGTGATTTTACCCCCCTGTGTGGTGAGATTGCCCCAGTATATTGGTTTTACATTTTATTTTTTTATAAATCACCAAGCTAATTAAAAAAATAGGGGAATGTCACATTTTGAAGCTTGGTGCTAATCGCATTCAACAATAAAAATAGAAATATGATAACGTGTCTCAAGATGGACAAAAAATAGCTTTGAAAAAATGCTGACGAAATTCCCCCACTCTCCCCTACTGGGGCTAGACTGGTTTAAAAAGTATGTTGTACGTTCCTCGCAGGCTTTGCAATTGACTTCAAAATGATGTAGGAAAAAGTTATAGAAAAGAACAGCCTTTCCGGTGATAGATGCCTAATGCCCAATGCCTATTTAGTTATAGCTGCTATGTCTAACCCGAGTTTTTGTACAGAACCCCCTTCTCCCCTACTCTGAGTTAATTTAAACACAGACAGTGCATGCATTTCTTAACGCATTCTGACTTATAGGAAAAATACCCGTTAAAAACACAAATTATTTTTAATAAATCTTTTTCTCTTTCAGTTTATGGCAGTAGCGCTGACCTCAACGTCACCGTTGATGATGGCGATGCCTCATACAACGGCGACGAGAACCATAAGGTTTGGAGTGGGTCACAGGATCAGTTGGACAGCATCGTGCCCCTTGAGAGTCCTTACGAGCTGTTTGCGGGAAACGCCTCCACACTAGGGAGACCCTTGCGTGCGCGCCAGATCAGCACGCCGATCGACGTGCCACCACCGCCGGTAAAGGAGGAGCGAAAAACGAAGCGTGACAAGAAGGGGTCTAGGTCGAGCGGCAGCCAGAGCCTCTCCGGCACCCTAATTCGTCCGAAGCCCGTGCACCCGGCGACGCTTCATCGCCCCGGCTTCCAGGGTCCGGTAGGACCTGGCAGCATGATCTACGGACCCGTCTCCGGACACGGACCGCATTCTGCCCGCTACCACACGATCAGTCACCGCGGCTTCCCAGCGGGTCCGCAAAGCCACCAGGTTCACCACCCGCAGCCTCATCCTTCACAGCATCCGGTCCATATGATGCACCACCCCCACATGGCAGGCCTTCCGCCCATGCAAATCCCCGTAATGATGCCGCAGCAGTACGCCACCCTTCAGCCATCGCGCTCCACCAACAAGAAAAAGAAAAAGGACAAAAAGAATGGTGGGGGCGGAGGTGGAGGAGTGCCCGTCGGGATGCCTATTGTGCCGCCCATTTACGCCTACCATCATCAACAGGCCATGGGTAGCGTTCCATCCCCCCAGATGGCCCAGTCCCTAATTGGGGAGCCACGTGCTTTGGGCCATGCAAGCCGCAAGCTGGCGGCATCGATGGGCAACGGACTGGACGACTCTGGAAACTCGGGAGCCGAGTCGCCATCGCCAGGCGGCACTGGCATCTACAAGGTGGGTGTGAGCTAGTAAAGACGATTGGGTTTCATTGCCTTCGATCCTTTCGGAGCAACAGCAGAATAAATATTTTAGTTACCATATTTGATGTTAACGAACTCATGTATGGCACATTTTTATACCCGTTTTTCGTAGAGTAAAACGGTAAGAGTTAAAAAAAAAACCGATCCTTATATTTCAATGCTTTATCCAAAAAAAAAAGTTTGGATCGATTCTGATATTTTACCCAAATGGGCCTGTCGCGTTTCACGTGGAATTACCCTTGTGTTATTTTTTTTTAGTTTTTCTTATTCCATACTTTATTGTGTATGAAAATGGATCAAGTGCGTCTTATAAATATTTTTTTAAAAATAAAATGCCGGAAAAAACTTAGTATTTTCTGCATTTGGTTTATATTATCTACATCATATAAAATTCCCATAAATTTTACTTTTAGTTTGTTGGAAAGTTCAATCTTTTAATAAAAAAATTCAAAAAACTGTCCTAGGAAAAAAATTACAGATTTTTGGCCCAGTGTACATTGGTCAATTTTAATCACCAAAACTTTTGTGCGCACTAGTAGTCCGATCGTTATTTTTATACCCTTGCAGAGGGTTTATGATTTCAGTCAGAAGTTTGCAACGCAGTGATGGAGATGTTTCCGACCCCATAAAGTATATATATTCTTGATCAGCATCACTAGACGAGCCGATCTAGCCATGTCCGTCTGTCCTTCAGTTTCTACGCAAACTAGTCTCTCAGTTTTTAAGCTATCGGGATAAAACTTTCCCAATAGTCTTCTTTTTATTGCAGTTAGTATATAAGTCGGAACCGGCCGTATCGGACAACTATAGCTCACATAGGCAAAATCGGGAAAAACGTTAAAAAATTGCTAGCTTCGGTGTTATTTTTCAGAGACCTTAACAGTTATAAGTTTTATTAGAAAAAATCATTTTTAACGGTTATTTAAAATTGTTATTATAAAAGTTTCAAAATAATTAGTATTATCAGTTTTTATAATATCGCTCAAAAATAACTTTTAATTTTGATTATTATTTTTATAAGTCTTGAATAACAGTTATTTCTGATTTTTCAAATAGAAGTCTATCAAAGACTTTTTTCTCATAATCAACGAAATTAAAATTGTTGGAAGACTTTTATTTTTCAACAAATAAAATACAAGTCTTTTCCATATATGTATATCGCTAGCCATTTAAGCCTAAGCTACCAAATTTACATAACGGGTTTTTCTTAATTAGTTTACAATTTTGGCATGCTTTAATCTATTTCTCATCGCGATTTTCCACTACCTAACAATTTCTTATTCGACAAATAGTGAAACCCAGAGCTACACAACTCCTAAGGGTTAGATGACAAAATCTAGTGTTACTTGTAAAGAAGCTGCGCCGCCAGCACAACCTCTCTTAAAATGATTACTTCATTGGTCGATAACAATATGTAGCAGGCAGACCTTACAGTAACAACTTCCTTCTTGTTTTTCAATACATTTGTAATAAAACAATCATTTAACTGCTTTTAAGGGGGGACATCTAGGTAACTGGGGAAAAAAACGGATTTTCTGGATTTTTTTTGGCCAAATGAAGAAGCCAATCGAAAATTTGTAAACTACGTTATCACTATGGACGGCAGTCCATGTAGTGACGAAGCGCACCAGGAGAGTGTGCGAAGGCGACTACTATTATATAGCCGCAAAATTGAAAATCTGCTGTGATAGTCCGATCGTAATGAGTAATACACCAATCGAAAGGTATTGCAAAAACTTAAAGGATTGCATACCAAGACTTTAAGAAAATCAATTGGCTTGGGAGAGAGAGTAGTGAAAGTGAAAAAGTGCAAATTTCGAAATTTGGAGCTGTTGTGTTCCTATTGAAAATACCCGTCGAATGAGGGGTCATATGATAAAATCCGACGCTCCGTTCAAAAGTTATAGCCAAAATAAGATTTTCTTCGTCTTCCTAAAATGAAAATTTAATTCTGTTTGTCAGTTTGTCCAAAACATGTTTTATAAGTTTAATTTTATATGACGTTCATCACATCGATATAAAAAACTTTTGTTCTACCACTTTTGGAAAAAGTCGCTAGTTTAGCGGGAAAACAGCTATAAATAGCTAAAATTCGGAAAGCCGTAACATCTATACTACTAAAGCTACAGACAGAAAGGTATTTTTAAATGCTATAATTATGCAATTTGTGTAAATGTAATAGTTAAAAAGATATGAACAAAAGAAAATTTTTTAAAACTTTTTTTTAGCTTTTTTTTATTTTTCTCAAAAACGGCTCTAACGATTTTCTTTAAAACTTTAAACTGTATAGCCCTTGAGATTTTTTGCCAGCTCGAACTACTAACGCTCCCTGAGTATTGAATTTTGTGTGAGGGTATCCGATCTGTATTTTAGGGTCATGGAATCAGTAAATTTGCACTTAAGGGTTCCATATAGGAATCTTTTGTTCTACGACTTTTGGAAAAAGCCGCTACTTAAGCGGGAAAAAGCTAAAAATAGCTAAATTTCGTTAGTTTGTAAGTTCTACACTTCTAAAGGTACAGACATGTGCTATACTTCAACGCCTTTTTAACTTAATTCGTTAAAATACAATAGTTTAAAAATTATGATTGACAATTTAAATGTAAATGTTTATATTAGCACCTATGAGAGCAAAAGTAAACAAACAAAAACTTCTGATATCAAATAAAAACACCTCTTAACGAGGTAAAAAACTAGTGACGATCGCACCTTCAACATACAAAAGTTCTGATATCAACATTTATGACGAAAAATTATTACACTCGTCATTAAATAGACTTTCTAATATTTTCTCATTCGGCCCGCCCTAGCAAACTATTCCGGTCTTTTTCCCTTCACAGGCATTTTCTATTGCAGCGTGCCGAATGAGACGGGTATTTTCAAAAGGAATACAATTAAAACATTGCGAGGGGGCATTTATCACCAGCGGCCCCAACAGCTCCAAATTTCGAAATTTTCACTTTTTCACTTTCACCGCTCTCTCTTCCAAGCCAATTGATTTTCTTAAAGTCTTGGTATGCAATCCTGTTAGTTTTTGCAATACCTTTCGATAGGTGTATCATTCATTATGATCGGACCATCACAGTAGATTTTCATTTCTTCGTGTATATATAGTAGTCGCCTTCGCACACTCTCCTGGTGCGCTTCGTCACTACATGGACTGCCGTCCATAGTGATACATCAATTTTTTCGATATATTGATTTTTTGCAAAATGGTGAGTGATTGAAAAAAGTAAAATTTTTTCGAATAAAAAACGTCACAAAATTCTTGCAAAATAGTAAGTAAGCAAAATAAAAAAAAAATCCTACGTCCGTCGATAGACATAGGTATTTTGAATATACTGTCAAAAATATCGATAGATCGGCCACCTCAAAAGAAGTAGTTTCGAAAAAAACGCGTTTAAAGTTTTAAGGTGCCCGGGATATACCTGTGAGGCATCGCCGCAGAATGGAAAATTTCGACACTTAGACACTTCTGACGGACTCTATTTTTTGGTATGTTATTTTTAAGACCCTAAATAATTTTTTAAGCGAAAAAAGAAAATTTTCGATTTTTTAAAAATTCTACCTAGATGTCCCCCCTTAAGAATTTGCTGTTTCTTAAATTCGATAATTATAGAGCCAGGTATAGGAAATACAGCAGTAGCTAAGAAGAGAACGGTCCAGCCAATTCCAAGATCATCCTGTTCCTAAGATTTCGCGGTTTTTAAACCATAACAAAAATATATTTTTAAAGACCGCGAATTCTTAGGAACAGGAGTATATATTTGTGTGGATTATATACAGCTTAACTAAAGACATATTCTACATCGATTCTTCAAAAACCGCGAATTCTTAAGAAAAGAGGTATATATGTATCTGTGTGAATCGTAAATAACTTAACTAAAGATATTCGGCTAGGCTATTTATTTTATTCCTATCATTTCGATTTTGTTGTAGGGGAGAGTGGGGGAATTTCGTCAGCATTTTTTCAAAGCTATTTATTGTCCATCTTGAGACACGTTATCATATTTCTATTTTTATTGTTGAATGCGGTTAGCACTAAGCTTTAAAATGTGACATTCCCCTATTTTTTTAATTAACTTGGTGATTTATAAAAAATTAAAAAGTAAAACCAATATACTGGGGCAATCTCACCACATAGGGGGGTAAAATCACCACACAACTGGGGAAATTTCGTCACCTGAAAAATGTAGGGAACTTTACGCTTGTAAGTATGTTACACTGATCGAGCGTACCATTTTTGTTGACGTCCTATATTTGTTGCTGCTGCTGGTAGTCTGTTCGTTAGCCAGCTCGTCAAATATAAAAATATGTATTTAAAATAGGTGCGAATTTACCCTTAACGTAGGGTGGCGAAATTTCCCCAGACCGTACTTTTTTAGAAATAATTATTTTTCTTCCGAAATTAGGCGCGAAGTTAAAAATCACTGACGCAGAAATGCACATTATAACACTGTGTATTATATAAAAAATCGTGTATCTTATTATACCCTTGCAGAGGGTATTATGATTTCAGTCAGAAGTTTGCAACGCAGTGAAGGAGACGTTTCCGACCCCATAAAGTATATATATTCTTGATCAGCATCACAAGACGAGTCGATCTAGCCATGTCCGTCTGTCCGTCTGTCCGTCCGTCTGTCCGTCTGTCTGTCTGTCCGTCTGTCCGTCTGTCCGTCTGTCCGTCTGTCTGTTTCTACGCAAACTAGTCTCTCAGTTTTTGAGCTATCGGGACGAAACTTTCGCAAAAGTCTTCTTTCTATTGCAGGTAGTATATATGTCGGAGCCGACCGGATCGGACAACTATATCTTATAGCTCCCATAGGAAGGATCGGAAGAAAAAACTTTAAAAAATTCTAGCTTCGGTGTTTTTTGAAATATTACCTTCTACTTTTGGGGATGTTATTTTTTAAATATTTCTGAATTTCGAATTAATTATTTAAAAAATCGGACTACTATATCATATAGCTGCCA